TTAACCTAATTCAATGGAGTGTCTATGTGTAAAGTTTGGATGATAAGTACGTTTACACAATAATGCTGTTACTGAAAACTTGCCAACAGATGTCTGCCAGATCCTTGACAGATTACCGAATGTCGGTCCACTGTGGGCCAGCAGTTCTGCTTAAAACTGTTTGACAACAGTCGGCCAACAGGACGACTGACAGTCGGCCAACAGGACGACTGACAGTCGGCCAACAGGACGACTTACAGTTGGCCAACAGGACGACTGACAGTCAGCCAACAGGACGACTTACGGTTGGCCAACAGGACGACTGACAGTCAGCCAACAGGACGACTGACAGTCGGCCAACAGGACGACTTACAGTCAGCCAACAGGACGACTGACAGTCGGCCAACAGGTTTTTTCAGGAAGTTGTTCCACATAATAACCCAAAAATGTAGTTTGACTGTCAGTGGTCGAACAGAACTAAATGAAAATCTCACCTGCTGCTTTTGGTTAGATTTTCTGGTAAGGAAACGGCAAAAATATGACCATCCACTGTCCCAACTAATACTTGTCTTTTTCCAGCAGCATTATGTTCCTGAACACGAACAGTGGTCACCGAATTGGGAAAACGAAAAGTGTGCTGCAAAAGAACGAAAAGATTCCTCGTTTGAATCTTGAATCTTACTATTCGAATATTCCACTGCGCTAACTAGTGTCAATTTTGGTTAAAAGGCATACTTACTTCTACACTATCGTCCACTAAAATATAAAGAAATTGACTGCCATTTGAGAGCAGAACTATACTCTTGCGTTTAGAAACCGTATGGATTACTATTTCGGGAGCAGCGATTGGTTTTAAAGGGGAAAATCTTTGTATGGTTTTTACTTGGTGGTCCGCCATTTTGAGCATTCGAACCAAGCGCTCGAAGAATGTTTCTATGCTAGATACCGCTGACACTCAGTTGGCTCAGCTATTTGGCTGGCTGTCGTCGAGCGAAATAAGGAAATAAATTATCGACAATTGAATAATTGTGAAGGTTTCTCTTCACTGTATTCCAAACACGGCGATTGCAAATAAGAAGCAGTACCACAGGACGTGAGGGATCTGTTATGTACGTCGGTAAAGACTGCTACACTCAGCTGAGCTGAAAGTGGTATGCAGAAATTATGCAGCTTGTCAGCTGGATTTTTCTTCTCTGCTGTCAACTTGCCTGGTGTGGTGCAACTAGGTGAAGCCGTTATAACTTCTAAAGGCTCATGATGGTTTTGCAACCTTTTATTTCTACAACCCGGCTGGATAAACTGACTCGCATGTGAACTCATCCGAAATCAATGGCGATAAATGAGTATTAAAAATGCCGTCCAGTGGTGAGTTGCTGCTATTACTGATTGCGGGTGTTTTAATTCAACAAAGTGCTTCGCCCACATATGCACAAACAAATTTCGCACTTAATCAAGAAACGATTGTTTCGTCAAACGATACCTGTGGTTTGCAAGGAAAGGATGAATTCTGTTTTGCTGTTGACCGCTTCCATCGATGTCAGAAGTTTGATTATTGTGATGCCGATTGTCCATTCGGAAGAAATGAACTTGTTAGCGTGGATATTGTTGCTACGGGAATGTTTCACGGACAGGTAAGTAATGTATACTCTACAAACAAAATTTTGAAGTCTAAAATTTTGCAGCGATATTGCGGTAGATATGCCAGATACAATCAAAACAATAGTTTAGTATTAGTCCATTGTAATCTGTAAATTGTTTTGATAATTCGTATCATTTTAAATGTAGTTTGAAAGATACGATTCATCTTAGAAATTAAAACTTAAAAAGAGAAGCGTGATCGTTTGTTTGACGATGTGGTCGCTTGGGATGTGGATCGCGACGTTTCGACTGCATACTGCCAGTCTTCTTCAGGCGAGGAAGGAGGCATCGCTTGAAGAAGACTAGCAGTATGCTGTCGAAACGTCCCAAGTGACCAAATTGTCAGACAAACGGTTACGTTTCTCTTTTAAGTAGTTTGAAAGATTTGTCAGAATAATTGTACTGATAATTGTTTAGAACAATCTGTGGTGCGAAATTAGCGATGGTGTGCTATTTAACGTGACTATATTCAAGCTTTTAAATCCTCTTTCAACTGTACCTTTGTTGAATGGACATAATTACGGCTCATCCTCGTTGTAAAAACCTGTGAAGCTCACGAGTGACGTAAAACAAAGACAACAAAACATTATAAACAATAGCGTACAGCAAAACAATACCTCATGAAACAAAGAAAACCTCCTCAAGTTTTTACACCGAGGATGACCCGAACTTATGGCTTCTGCGCTGGGCTCCGTCCCCATCCCTTCCAACCACTGAGGCTACATTTGAATTACAACACTTAAAAACTCCATACCCATTAATTAGGTTTCAACACATAGATTTCATGACTTGGGCTTTTAGAAAGATGAAATTTTTTTGACACCGACATACATCAATTCTTAATAATGTTTAAAGTAGTTTTACTGAGTGTTCCTTGCAGGGTCTATGTGTTGGGTTAAAATGGGTAATGGTAAACTGTCAGAGAAACCTGATGCAGTTCTAGTGGGTAACTTCTTATGCATCCCATCAAGGGTCTAGTGTGGGGGGTGTTGTGATACCTCCATTTACTTTGTGTTACTTTAGGTGGGGCTAGCCTGATCTACATGAGTCACTTAGCTTGCCTGGTGATCCAACCTGCCTTTACATAGGCTTTACATAACAGAAATGTTGACTATAATTATTCAATGACATTTTGATTGTAGGTGAATTTGTTTGCAAATCAATCCAGTGGATTATGCCATAAGCAAGTATTGACCACTGTTCAGTTCAATGGCGCCAATGGCTTTATTTCCAAGTCAACAGAGATTTTGTCATTATTTAGGGAATCTGAAGGAATGACACTAACCATCCATCTGAGCCAATACCCAGGGGACAAGGGGTGAGTAATTAACCTAGATAACACAGTTGTCCATTTCTGCTATCATCATGTAACAAGTTAATGATCATATTGATGCTGATTTGATGTCATTTTATTCACTTGGTCCCTGATTACTAGATATCTGAGTGATAATAATGATAATAATGATAATAATGATAATAATAATAATAATAATAATAATAATAATAATGTAATTTATCTATACAACACAAATATATGAGTGACAACTGAAACCCTGCACAGGGTCTGTGAAAAAATCATAACACAAAGGTCATAGTTTGTTAACGATAAAAAAAATAATTGGTCAAATGGATCCTTAGAAAGCAGAGGAAAGTTAAAACAGACCATGACTTACTGGTACGGGAAAAAAGGCACCCTTTCTTTATAGCTAGTGCTAAAATACATCAAAGTGATAATATCCAGTTCCGATTATTTCCTTTTAGCAAAATCATAAGCAAAGAGGACAACAGCAGTGTACACTTTGTCTTGTCTGCAGACAGTACAACTGACCATCAGATAGTTCTGGAATATATGACTGCAAGTGGGTTAAGTAGCAGTTTGCTCATCAACAACAGTTTAGCGGATGAAAAGTGTCATCATGTTGCTGTGGTACTCTTTGGTTCTGTTATTCAACTGTTCATTGATACAGAGCTTGTTGCTGAAGAGATCACTTACAAAAATCTTTGGGACAGAAGTGGGATTATCCTCTTAGGGGGGAGACCAAATGCTTCACAAGATGATTATTTCAAAGGTATCATAAATTACAAAATGTTTTGCCATTAGAGAAATTAGAAAGACTTAAGTTACAAGGTGGGTCATGTTTTCCATGTGCTGATAAGAGGAAAGGGTGGGGAAGGGGTGATTGGTGGCATAGTTGTCTTCAAGGTAGTTGATGGTGCTATTACAGAGCATTTTGTGACAGACTGGGGAAGGCAGTGCTATAAATTGTGTCTATGTTTACAAATCAACAGCATCTGCCATTTCAGGTTATGAATTGCAGATTTCAGCTAAAAAGTTTTACTAATTTGGAAAATATCAAAACAATCAGTGATTGAGGGTAAGCTGCAAATTTTGAATAGAATTTAAGACTCCAACTATCAAGAAGATCTGATGGGGGATGCCAACTTTACTTTGAAATTGGCGATAGAGGATGGACAGACTTTGTCAGGATGTTTGTGTTTTCCCATCAGTGTCACAGATGAGCCCTTGATGTTTTATTCATTTGGTACCGGTAATTTAACTTTCAAACTTTTGATGAGATTCACATGTACACTCCAGGTTATAGAATAACCTTTGCTACTTATAGACGCGAACATCTAGCCAACAGATTTCCTACTTTAGTCATGATTCATTTATAATGTACTTGTCCTTCAGGAGAGCTTGGCTCCTATCTTTATGTGGGAACACTCCTTCCTTCAGAGATTAAGACGGATGCTTTGGGGAAAACCCCTCATAAGCCCCGTCTTGCAGCACACTGTAGATGTAATGTGGACTACCCAAAAGTGTCCATGGACCCAGATGGTCTTTTCTGTGTCAATCCCAAAAACAACAATACAGTGAGGCGTGTAAATAACAAGGCACATTTTGAAGGCATGGCCAATGATGGAAACCTCAGCACATGGTGGCAGTCCAAGGGAACAAGAGTCCCACTTAATTTTACAGTCAGCCTTGGGGGTGTGAAACAAGTCTTGGTTGTCAGAATATCATTCAAATGGTGGCCACCAAAGGATCTGGTTCTTTCCAAATCTGCTGATTATGGGGAAACATGGTTACCATGGCAATATTTTTCCCAAGAGTGTGAAACAACCTTTAATATGGAAGCTGAAGGGAGACTGGACTCTCCTGACAGTGTCAATTGTGTTGAAAGATTTTCACACCCAGTCCCTCACGAGACTGTAACATTTTATTTACTTCAGTCTTCGAGGCCAGCATCAAATACTTTTGAAACAAATCAAACTCTTCAGGATTTTTCATTTGCCACTCACGTTAGATTGACAATGATGTCATTTTTGGGAAATTCAGCAGAGAAAACAGATTATTTTGCAATATCTGAGCTTGAAGTCTTTGGAAGAAATTGCTCTTGTCTTTTGCCAGTAAATAGTACCTGTGTTTGTGATGGTGCTATTACCAGACCGCCAAACTGCATTGAAACTGTGATCTTTGACAGCGACTTCTACAAGAGGAGTATCTTTGATGAAACGCCACTTGAGGTATCTATACTGCAAGGTGAGGCTTTGTGCCATGTAACAGCTTTTACTCTATCAAATTCTGTAGTGATTAATCAACTGTAGAAACATCCCTGAGAAATAGATAGTACGTAACCGAATGCAGCTGGACTGTTTAAACTCCCTTTTTCCCTCGACAGAAATATTACCGGGAAGATATAAAGGAGAAGTTTTAAAAGTGAAGAGAAGTTGTGAGCACCTCTAAATAACTCCACTTTTTACATTGTTCCAAAAATTCTTGAAGTCCTTTTCTCTCGACTCAAAATTCTCCCACTCTCTCTTGTTGTTATGTCAAATGTCTTACACAGTCCTTTCCAATCATTTAATTTCGTTGGGCATCATCCCATCTCATCCCGCGCGTCGCTTTTAACCTCCCCTACCCCAAATATGTATATTTCGGTGAAGTTGCACGAGAACCATTGTTTTAACTGCGGATCTTGATAAGTGAAATCAGTTTATTTTAATACGAAGATCGTGACATTGAAGCTTACATATGTCCACTATTCTTAATCCAAGCTTTTGCATTCATTGCTTTGCAGTTTACGCCAGGAGTCTGTGTTCGGGTTATCTTCCAGTGTCTTACTTCATAGTAGAAAGAAATGACTCGCAGTCCTTTCAGATTGAAAACACAACAGGAATTTTTAAACTTCGAAGTTACGTTGCCTTAAACAGTACATTTCGTTTTCTTGTTGGAGCCCGACTCCAAGGCGGCGCGGAACATCAGGTTAACAGTTCGAAGACAATTGTATTAATCAAAGTTATAACCCGCGCCACTTTAGAGTCGCGAACTGTTGTGAATTTTGAAACACAGAAGTTAGGTTTTCTTCAAGGGAGGACGTCAAACCGCGTAAGGCAGCTTGGTTTCTTCGTTAACGATTTTCCAGGTAGTGAAGGAAGTGTTCGCGCTTTTGTTGGAAAAGTGAGTGCTGAAGCAAATTATTCGACGACGCGAGAACCAGCTACTCATGTAAAGGCTATGTTGGTCAGCGCAGATGTATACTGGGACAGGCCTGTGGTGCGTGTTATCGCGCAGGTGCAGGACTCCTCATTTAATGTGCGTACATTGGTGGATGAAAGTAAGGTTGTTGTCAAAGTCGACCCCAGTGCTAAGCTGTTAGCTATTGATGGAAGCCTCTTACTAGTAAGTCTTTTTCATGTATGACGTTGTTCTTCTTTTGCCACGTTTGCAAGCATTCAGACCCAATCATGTTTGTCCACTCTCACAGTCGGCGGTCACTGTTGAGCTTACTTGAAGTAGCTCAATGTGATGTTCATGTGTAGTCCCAAGGCTGTAACGTAGTTTTATGATTGTAATAATGATCAATTGTTGAATCCTTGCTTTTGTTCTTACTGCAGTCGGTCGCTAAGCCAAGTGCGTCTACTGGAATTGCCGAGATACAGGTTCCCTTACCTTCTAAATGGTTTTTAGACCCCTCTCTTTTCGATCCTGAGGTTCTTACCATCACGTACCGTCTGCTTAACTCTGCCAAGTCTCCCACGTTTCTAGGTAACGTCACAGTTCATCCAGGAAGCAAAACGCGGTTGTTTTCGAATGACGTGTATGGTATGCTTCCTTTTGAAACGGTGTATATAGGCGGGGTATTCAGCTTTCCAATTTACTGTGACTCATCCTATGCCGTAGCCTCCTTTGGAATAAGGATAGTAATTGGTCCGTCACTTGTCATCACTGGAGTACAAGTTGATAGTCAGCGCTGGGCCCATGTTGCTGTCAATCACAGCTCTTTTGAATGGGTTGTGAGTGCCACATTAACTGATCCTGAAGCAGCTCCTCAGGGATTCGTCAAAAAAGCGAAACTTGTCAGCGTCGATGTCAAGGTACAGGACACAGCTGTTATCAATGCAAGCGCAAACGCAACAGTTACAGCCGAGGTTAGTAATTACTACTTTCCAATATGCAGTCAGTGTATATTCAAGCCATTTATGTGGAAGAACAAATCGTATCTGTTACAAGACAGCTGTCGCCTTCGTTATGTTGTGCGTCTCAATTTAGCTCAAGCTTTTGTAATCGTTACGGTGGCCAATTTACCATTTCAACGTTGTTGATATATCCAAATTATTTCGTTACTCCCACCGACGCAGCCCCAAACAGTTTCTTTCGAAACTATCAGCCTTTTTATCAATTTAGTTTAACCGTCTAAGAGACGAATTACTGCTCCTTGAACTATGTCCAGCTATAGTTCCATATAAAGTGTCTCTTCTGTAAATTTGTAATGCAAAGCAAGAAAAGTAATACAATACAAAACATTTTATTTGCCATTCATAAATGAATACTTGTTCAAAACGATTTTTTAATAGATGGCAAGGGGGCCTCCAGAAACCATGGGGTAATTTCACTTTAAACTTAACCTAAATTCGACTGATGATTGTTATTTTCAATATAACAAAGAAATTCATACTACATCGACACTACTGTGATGTTTAGGTTAACACTGTCTGTCAATAGCTTGCTGAACGTGATGATGATGAGTAAACCTGACTGGGATCATTCGTTTTGGGAAGAGCAACAACAAGCCAACACAAAAAGATAATACTTTGTGTAATCAGTTTGGTTTTTTTTTTATAAAGGCTGATAGTTTCGAAAGAAACTGTTTGAGGCTGCGTCGGTGGGAGTAACGAAATAATTTGGATATATCAACAAAGTTGAAATGGTAAATTCGTCACCGTAACGATTGCATTCGCTCCGACGAAGGGCTAACGCTCGAAATGTCAGCTTTTGTAATCATTACGGTGGCCAATTTACCATTTCAACTTTGTTGATATATCCAAATTATTTGGTTTTTTTACCTTTGATAGGTGACATACCTCAGTAATATCAACAACGAGGAAATTGAGATTGGTGGCCAATTACACCCAATCAAGGTGGCCATGCTCGATGGTTTTAACCAATCTCGACACACGATAGGGATGATACGACTTTCTGCCAACGGTGTCAAGGAACTAAGAGCATACGCTGAATCTGCTGATTTAGTAAACACAGCTGTCATGGATGGACGAATCGTGACTGCGAACATAGCTCTTTTGGCTATTCAACGATCAGGCGACGTCATCCTGCTTCCAGAAGCAAATTGCACGAGTTTATCAGAAGCTGTGCAAGTAACAAAGAACTGTTCAAACGTGTTTCTAAACGGTAGCGAACCCGAAGGATCAGCAGAAGCACAAGTAAAAGTCCAATTTGGTCAAATAAACACCATCGTGTCAGTTCGTGTATGGTTCCCTGTTCTGCCTATGAACCTGACTCTGTTTCACTCGGAGCTCGCAGCAGTCTCTGGTTGGTTGCAATTCAATGCATATAGCGGTAAATGCGATCAGCGGTATCAGTGGACCAGGGTCGAGTCTGAAGCCCAGTTTACCTACGATAAAGTCCACTTTGAAAACATATCGACGACGAGTTTAGTTCGTGATCTTCTCATAAGTGCGAATGAGTCTATAGCGACTGTGGATAACTTAGGAAACGTGTATGGAATGTCTCCCGGTCAAACTGTTATCAGAGCCGTAAATCCGCTGACTGGTAATTTCCTGGGAAGTACTGAAGTTAAGGTGACTGCATTAAGGCGAGTCGCTGTTCAATTGATCGACGTTGTCATGGTAACCAATCTAAGTGTCATTATTCCTGACCCGCCCTATCCGAGATTGTCAACACAAATGGCGGAGGCATTTGTTCACCAAGATTTGCGTCGTGATCATGCACGTGGGGCGCTCGTGGCTTTTGTCACTTTTGAGGATGGCAGACGACAAAAACTGAACTCTGCACTTGGCCTTCAGCTCAAGTCACTTGAAATCCACGTGCTCAGAATCACTGGCCAATCAGAAGCAGTGTCTGTCGGTTCTGGGTCTGGCGTTCTTCAGGCTAATTGGGTCTTGCCTCCCAGCCGTTGTTATCCAAATGGATATAACCTTGGAGTGGGTTATGAATTGACGAATATAAGTTTGTTACCTCCAGTAAGACTTGAAATAAACGGCATCAGTCCACAGATAACTTTCCCTGGAGACAAATCCACTGTAGCAGGGATACCAACATCAAGTTACATAGCAGTGACCTTAGTGTTCGAGAACGAACATCGAGTCGACATGAGCTCTGACTCGAGGACTATTTATGACTTGAGCAAGTCTGAAGGTTTTTTCAGTGTACAGCGCGATCATAACAACGCTCCTGTTATTACACCAAACTCGCTAGGCAAGTCGGGCAAAAAAGATCTTGTAGTGCGTTTTACTCATTTCTCAATCACGAGTTCTGTTTCGGTCAATATCGTGACCTACACAGCTCTGGTGTTACATGCCAAGCCCTACCCACCCTATCCAGGAGCTCCTCTGATCAATTCGCTGAGCCTTGTCGCTGATACAAACGCACACGAAATGGCGTCGCTAAGCCTAGCAATGGTTTTGAGTGATTCTTCAAAGTATGATATTACAGGACACCAATTGACGTCATTTTCATCCAGATCTCCAGACGTGATTGTCGGACAAAAGGCTGCAAACCGCGTAAGAGTAAAGTCTGGCCCGACGGCTAGCCTTGCTTTTCTCGATGGAAAATTTGGTAATGTGGACAGTACAGATTTAATAATATTTATTAGAAGCTCTTCAGTGAATGTGACAAGCATTTCTAACCTTGTCTTACTCCCTGATAACAATCAAACTTTGTCTGGAGTGGAGAATTCCCTTGTGGCACAAGTGCAGCTGTCATTGACATTTGACAATGGAAGACTCGTGACACAGTTTTACGACGGAAACACTGCTTTATTCCCGGGGTTGATATCTTTGACAAGTGAAAATAATAATATTTTCACCGTAGACTCTTCTACAGGTCAAGTAACTCTTCGACGTAACTATCACCAAACACTCTCTCTGACTGCAACTGTTGCAGTTTCTCTGGTTACATCCAGCTTGACAGTGGCTTGTAACCTTTTGCCGGCCGTTGGTGACGTCGACCTCGGTGAAGAGATCGGATTACCGTTACCCCCAAGACATGATGGATCGTCATTTCAAATTCAAGTTCGTTTGAACGCTGGGGAAAGGCAAAGCGTCAAGAAGATCGATCTCACCCTCACTTATGATCGCTCAAAGCTTGCTGTGATGTCTGTTAGAAAAGGAAGTGTATGGAATAACTGTGTATCTGACTTGAACACCTTAGGACAAATTTCCTTGGACTGCTTGAGTGACTCACCCTTGAATGGCATTGTCAGTGTAGCGGACATAACTTTCAATGCCACCAGCTCGGGTTTGGCTTCCATTCTGGGCTCTGTAAACACGGATACCCATGGCTTGTCTTCTCTTGTAGCAGGAAACGTTGATCAGGAAGTTGTGGGAAGCGGACAAAGAAGACGACGAAGCGCTGATGATCAGAATAGGCGTGACCTGCTTGAAGTTCATAAACAACGCATGCGTAGAGCTGTTCCGTCTGCTACTTCAACTTGCCAAGGCGACAAGCTACCCCTCCCTGGTGATGTCAACAGAGATTGCCTGTTTGACCTCGGAGATGTCATCTTCGTTCTCAGATATTATTCTTTCTCCATCTTTAATTTCTCGGACGCGACAGGGAATCTATTCCGCCAATCACTGCCATACAACAAAACCCGTGATATTGATGTTGACAGGAACAGTGTCGTGAACCCAGCTGACGCGTTTTATCTTGTGAGAGTCTTTCTTGGTTTAGTTCGCTTTGTTTCCCAAGTTAATGTAATACCCGTTCAGGTCCTTAGCTCTAATTGTCAGCTTTCACTCAGTGTCACTTTAACATCAAAGAATGGCCCCGCCTCTGATGTGAACACTTTTGTTTTCTTCGACATCACTTACAGAGGAAGTGCCATCAATTTCGCAGGGACTGGAGGAACCCAAAGAGGTGTTGGTATCTATGGAAATCTCATCAGGGGAGTTAGCAGAGGAAATGGAAGTTTTGGTGTCCAAGCTCCTTTTGTGCGTGTTCAAAATAGTATTGGCCTTAGTGTTTTCCACGTAACCATTGATAACAATAACAGAACAAGTTTTACGCGAACGGCTGCCTTGTTTGGCAACCCACACCCTCCATATTTACTCCCCATAAGATTGTCTTTAGACCTACCTGTTGGCAATCAAACTATCAGCGTTAACACAAACAACAACTACAGCCCTTTTGTCGCATTCAATAATACACTCTCCTCGGCGGATTGCACTAACACCTTTGCGCCACAATTTGAAACGATCTTCTACCACGCTAATGTCTCGGAAAATGCAACTGTGAATGCCTCGGTTATCACCGTTAATGCCACAGACCTCGATCATGAGAAAAGTGGCAGAGTGAGCTATAGCCTTGTCAGTGCCGAAGTGCTTCCTTTTGTGATAAACTCAACTTCAGGCGTCCTTCGAGTTGTGTGTTGCCTGAACAGAGACGAGAAAGCCCGGTACAATGTGACAGTTAGGGCTACAGACGGAGGGGCTCTGGGTCGAGAAAAATTTGCCGATGCGTATGTGGTCGTTTTGATCATTGACGTGAATGACAACGCTCCGGTTGTCAATCAAATTGTACCGAGTCATATGATCAAGATCCCAGAGAATGCTGCCTTGGGTAATCCACTGGTCAGGATCGTTGGATCTGATGAAGACATCGGGGAAAATGCTCGGATTAGTTACAGTTTTGTTGGGAATTCTTCTGCAAATCAATTTCTTTTTATAAATGCCACAACGGGTTTGGTAACGTTGAAGAGTTCCTTACAAGGAAAAGTTGGTTATATGTTTAAGATTTTAGTGCTCATTTCAGATCATGGTATTCCAGTGTTAACTACAAACGCAACAGTGGAATTTCTTGTCACTTACGCTTCTGATGTGAACATATTTTTTGTTTCCCAGTTTTATGCGGTCAACTTGACAGAAAATAGTGCGATGAATTCAAGCGTTCTCAAAGTTAAGGCTTATGTTCCCGGACTTCCTGATGCTAGTATTTTTTATTCCCTTACCGAGGAGGTCGCATTTAGAATCGATTCATCAGATGGCACGATATTAGTGAATTTCACAATTGATAGGGAAAGCATTGAAGTTTATTCACTGACTGCAACTGCGGAATATGGACACAATATCAGTACCAATGCCACAGTAAATATCACTGTTTTAGATGAAAACGACAATGCTCCCGTACCAGATCCTGTCCCACTTCAGGTCATTCCGTACAATTTGCCGGTAGGCAACGAAATGTGTCGGGTCAATGCATCGGACAGAGACGATGGACTTAATGCTGTGCTAAAGTTCAGTCTTCTCGGAGACGTCTTTAAACACTTCCTCATAGACAGAGAAAATGGCGCGATCTTCTTAAACTCTTCATTGCTTGATCTTAAGAACAGTTTCATACAGCTGTACGTTGAAATTTCTGATTCAGGTGAACCTTCACTTACAAGTAACTTGACAGTCAACATTTCAATCCAGTTTCCACCTCGGTTTTCGTACAGTGTCGTCAGCATCAATGTGTCTGAAGATATTTCTATCGGCGAGCAAGTGTTCACATTTATCCCAATGAACATTTCTGGACAAGGCTTCAGCACGTATTTTATCATTGTAGATAGAAACTATGGACAAAAATTCTCCATTAGTAATGTCAGCGGAGAGGTAGTTGTTCAAGACCATTTGGACAGGGAAGAAATATATTTTTATTCTTTATCCATCCATGCCTCAAACCTTGCAGTTGAACGCTTCGCCGAAATAAAAACAACAAAACTGTTACTCAATGTCACCGTTCTTGACATCAATGACAATGCACCATACTTGGACTCAATTCAGCCAATTGTCATAAGGAATACTGCCCACGTGGGATACACATTGTTACGTTTGAACGCCACCGATGCCGATGAAGGTCTTAATGCGCAACTGCAGTACAAAATCACTTCCGGTAACGAATTGAATAAATTTGTTATCAACGAGCTTGGTTTTCTTCAGCTGAACAGTTCCCTTCTCTATACCACTGTTCCTTTCTTTTCTCTTGTTGTGAATGTTTCTGATCATGGTTCTCCAATGCTGTTCAATACAACTGTAATTAACGTGACAGTTGAAGATGACCGCAGTCCGCCTCATCTTAATCAAACTTTCTACAATGTCTCCTTGTATGAAGACAGCCTTCCTGGGAGCCAACTCGTTTCTGTTTTTGCTACCGACCCAAATGGAGATAGAATTCGTTACAATATATCTTCAACATTCACTAACATTACTTCTGTCTTCAGGGTGAATGTATCCACAGGAATCATCACAACAGTGAAGGAGCTTGATCGAGAGATCACTGACAATTACAAGTTTGCAATAATTGCTTATAAATACTCACCGTTAACAGGGCAGCAATACACAGATAATGCTACAATAAGCGTGCGCGTTATGGATGTTAATGACGCACGTCCTCACTTTTCAAAAGAAGTTTACACGTTGGAGTTTGACGAGGAAAACCTTCCCGGGATGGTGTTCATGACAATCAATGCTGATGATAATGACCAGGGAGTGAATTCTCTTCTGTCGTATAGCATTATTTCAGGAAACGATAGTATATTCAGCATAAACAATTCTACTGGTGAAATAAGCGTGTTGACAACTCTTGACTACGAGAACGTGCAGCAATTGAATTTAACCGTGCAAGCTAAGGATCTTGGGATACCACCTCTCGAAGCCAACGCGTCCGTTGTAATTTGCATTAGAGACATCAATGATAATGCTCCTATTATCGAAGGTAATTTTTCGGGAAAGCTGAATTTACTGGAAAGCGTGCAGCAAGGTACATCTGTGATCAGAATTAATGCCACGGATGCAGATAGTGGTCTCAATTCAAATCTTTCTTTCTCAATCGTGGATGGAAATTTAAGTGGTGCGTTTAACATAAACCCCACAACTGGCCTCATCACAACAGCTACACAACTGGATTATGAGAAGACACGGATTTACACATTAAATGTGAGCGTGCATGACCGAGGGATCCCTCCACTATCAAACAGTATTCTGGTTAAAATCCAAGTGATTGACGTGAATGATATGTCACCATTCATTCACCCTTTGTCTCCTTTGTATGTCAGAGAGAGCGTACCAGTTGGTACAATGATTGTTCGAGTAAACGCCACTGACGGTGACTCTGGCACAAATGCGGCTCTTAACTACACCATAGTGTCGGGTGAGTGTCTTTAGTTGCCATAGTCTATTTTTTGGGAAATGAATTGCCCTTGCCTTCGCAGCTCAGTTCCTAAGCAAGATCTTGTCGTTTCTTATAGTAGAATCATTTAAAATTACGAATATGCCAGACTGAAGTTGAGTACCGCAAGTTTCCTTTACGGCTATCGTCTGAAATTCATTTAAAATCATATTTGTTTATGTCTCACATTCTAGGTAACAAGGCCGCAGCCTTTTCTATCAACGAGACAAATGGTGTTATAACTACAGCGCATGCACTGGATCATGAAAATGTTTCACTGTACTCGTTAAACATCTCAGTCAACGACAAAGGAGTCCCACCTCAGTCGTCCAAAACTCGAGTTATGATTCACGTCGTCGATGTGAACGATCACCGCCCAATATTCACTCAAGATATTTACCAAACCAGCCTCTACGAGAACTTAACAGTTAATTCAACTGTTTTAACTGTACATGCGAGAGATTTAGACGTTAGTTCCGCGGGTGGAATCGTATACAGCATACATGAAAGCAGCGATAACGACACTTTTGTGATAGGTGGCTCGACAGGAGAAATCAAAGTTATAAAGTCGTTAGATTTTGAGAAAACGAAGAATTACCATCTGGTTGTGAAGGCAATCGACATATTTCTTCCTAACACCTCTCTCCACATCATTGGAAACGTGAGTTCATCAGGTTCATTCTCAAGCTTTGCAAACGTCACTCTTTCTGTGCTAGACGTGAATGACAATCCTCCTATATTTACAAACAGTTTCTATTCCGTTTTAATCTCGGAGAACCTGCCGGCAGGTTCAGTTGTTGCTCAAGTTAACGCAACCGATGACGATTTTGGGAAGAATGCAGATATTACATATGAAATGTTGGCATCCAATCAAGCCTCTCAGCTGTTTGTTATTAATTCTTCAACCGGCGAAGTGAAAACTAAATTATCTCTAACAGATGCAAATTATTTGACCTTCAACTTATCGCTATTTGCCTTAGACATGGGCTCACCGTCCTTGAACAACACCGGTTTATTGCAAATACGTATCAATTACAATGTTACGTTCAAGTACAACGAGACGCGTCCTTTCACCTACGCCATTCAGGGTGCGTTTCAGGTCGAACCTGTAGTCATGTTGAGCTGCGTTCGTGCTGAGACTACCCTTGGTTTATTCTCTGGGTTGTCAGCAGAATTACAGGTCAGCACAGGGAGCATCCATTACGTAAGTGAGCTTGAAGTGTTCAGAGAACCCGCTTTATACCTGAAATCAGTTATTGTCAGCGATTCGCCAGACTATCAGGTTATACGGGTAGCCGTGCAGGTATCTGACCTGAACTTCAATGTTAGGACCTTGTCAACTGAAGTACACATCAGACTTATTAACCTAGATACTTACTCTGAGGAAAATACCAGCTGTGCTCCATCAGCCAATACTGGAATATGTGTTGGAAGTTTGCATATTCCTCTAAAATGGCTGAACACAAGTGTTTCATCCGACAAAGTTTTAGTGGAATATGGACTGTCTCGCTCAAATATGACAAAGCTGAAGCAGATTGATTTCAGAAAGAAAGAAGTGCCTCAAGTTGAACAGAACTTTCTTATCATGGCGCCTTTACATTTACTACATGTGGGAGACTCATTGGTTCTCAAAGTGTACGCTCAGTATACCAAACTCGTGCAGTTCTTTACTTTGATCTTCACGCTGTCGTCTGGTTTGAAGGTCAAACAAGTGCAAGCTTCTCAATCGTGGAGAATTCAATCGACATTTAATGGTGAAAACGAATTTGTGGTGTTTGGTGTTAGAAAAAATAGTCGCGGTGAGAAAACAACTTCTATCGCTTTATTCTTTACTATCGAAGCAGAGATCGCAGAAAATGCCATATTATCAAGTCCAGAATACATGGAATGTGAAGTGAGGCACGTTAGTGACCAGGAAGGTAACCAGCTTATTTCTGTGCCTATGAGTGCCGTTTTTGAAGACGGATTCGGAAGAAATAAAAAAGGATTTTTCGTTGTTGTTGAAGATGACTTTGCAGCGCTTTTTGTCGTCCCTGATTTGTCAGTCATTATAAACAGTGCTGTGCTGAATGGAGAGCTGGTTGAAGTTCCGCTCAAGGTAGCTGGGGTGACTGCCAAAGGACGAGTTCTGAATGTGACAAGTGTTACTTGTATAAGTCTTGATATTGCTGTTTTAAAAGTTTCAGGTGACTGTTCCAGTGTTTATGTAAACGGAAGTGAAACGCGAGGATCATCATCAGTCACAGTCGAGTTTTATTACAAGAATCTCACCGCAAATTCTTCTTTTGTTGTTTGGACACCCATTATTCCTATAACGTTGAATGTTAAACCAGCTAAGTTAAAGAGAATACGTGACTGGTACGATCCCAGTGATTCATGTAAGCCACGCTATCAACAAGCGCGCTTAACGGTTACAGCGAATTTTTCAAACGGGAAGCGATATTTCACCGGAGTTGATGTCACACAGCTCGTTAAAGACAACTTTCAAATTTCAAACAACAGTGTAGCTGAGATTGTTAGTTTAAATGTTCATGGGAAAAGTGTTGGAAAGGTTACCGTTGAAGTTTATAACCATCGAATGGGTCGTGCGCTCGGAGAAGTTGGTGTGGAAGTTCTCGATGAAGACACCAGAGTGTATGTTCTGAACGTAGTTATTGCTACACGGGTTTTGGTCGTTCTTCCAAAGGTTTTAGACAGCTCTTTACAGCATCCTGTGAGAATTAACATGGAGCAAAGATTTTTAATCCCAGAGGATGAGGGTTCAGTTATATTATCCGCACAATATAGTGACGGGGTGGTGAACACGTTTGAAAACCTAGAGGGCTTCTTCGTCAACTCTACAAACAACAGTCTGGTCAGGGTGGAAGGTGACCGCATAACAGCTATTAATAATAGCAGTGGCAATGTACTTCGTGTGGTTGCGCACTCGGGTCATTGCTCTCAGAGACCAGTCATAAGTTAACATGCCAACCTCGATGTAATTTTCCAGGAACCCAGTGCAGTTGTTGTTAGTTTGAGCTCCAAGGAGATAACTACACGTGGGGATTCTGCTGAGTTGATTGGAGTTCCTTTACACACAGAGGTAAGAGTGACTCTTGTTTATAACATCAGTGATCGTGAACGCCGCTTGGATGTTTCAAACAACAATCGGACGATTTACATTATAGAAGGTGAGGGTGACTTGGTAAGAATTGCCAAAACAGAGCGCACTGTCATTGTGTCTGCCACTGGTGGTGGTTTCGGTCAAGTTCAACTTTCCATCCTGTTCACGCATGTTCAGTCAGTTGGTCATGTGACAATTGAGGTCATTGGCGCCCAAAAACTGATATGTTTTGCAAGTCCGTACCCACTTTTCAACTTTTCCACACTTGTTAACGTTACTAAGCTGAATCCAATTGGAAACTCGGGAAAGCACCAACGAGTCAGGTTAAACTTGAATCTTATCCTAACAAATGGAACATCGCTGGACGTCACAACAAACAGGAGAACACGATTTAAGATTGCATCTACCCAACCAGCTGAGCTTGCGCAGTACAGCTCCATCGAAGCGTCGGCTGATGGGTATCATGTGGTCTCAATCCGATGGAGCGGTGAAAGGGGTCGGTTGTTAATCAGTGGAAGTTTTGTGAACCTTTCGAGTCACGTGTTAATCCTTCAGGTCGAGTCAACTCCTACAGTGGTAAAATTTGTAGAATTTGCTACATCACCATACGTCACGCTCAGAGGTGTCAGGAATAGATCAACTTTGCAGCTATCTGTAAACCTTGGACTCAGCGATAACTCTAAACTTATTGGGCTCTTTCGCTCAGAAAACACGACTTTGTTTAATTTAGTTGTATTTAGAACTCAGGACACAACAAAAATATCACTGAACGGGACAAGCGGTTTAGTAACACTGAGAGCCAATGCTCCACAAGAAGTACAAGTCACAGTATCTGCCTTACAATCTCCGTCCATCATATCAGACAGTATCTCCTTTGCCTGCAACTTGGACCCAGATGTTGGTGATGTGGACATCGGTGACGTCACTGGTACACCACTTAAACGGGCACGTGTCGGAGAAAGTTTTGTGGCAGCCGTGCGTATTAACTCTGGAAATCTGGTGCTAGGTAGCTTTGATATCGAAATCGTGTTTGACGACGAACTGTTGGAAGTGACCAGTGTCAGTGAAGGCGCTGATATGCTCGGTTTTTTCGTTGCTGACAGATCGAGTCTCACGGATCAAACCGGGAAAATGAGAATTACTGGTGCACTTAGTGTGGACATCCAGACTCATCACATGTGCCATGTCGCAGATATCAAATTTCGAGTTTTATCAAGCGGTGTTGCTGGTCTGAGAGGAACAGTTCTGATGGTGGCCGCTAATAATCTTGTTGGTAGCGTGATCGGACCTCCCGTACCTAGGAGCATAGTGGCAGGAAATGTTGAGGTTTCTATCGACAGTTTAGGTCGTCGACGGAGATCCCTTGCATCTCTCTTTACAAGTAGTACTCGTATCATTCGCTCATTGGCTAATTGCCCAAACGGGAGAAGAGAGCCTGGAGATGCTGATGGGAATTGTGTTTTCGACATAAGAGATGTGAAGTTCACGTTGGATTACTTGACAGAGCAGCAGTTTAACTTCACCCGGGTTAAGGGACAGCAGATACAGAATTCTATTCAAAATCATCAGCTGCAGTCTTTGGACGCGAATGGGGACGGTTCAGTAACGTTAAATGACGTAAATCTTTTATTGCGGGCGAACCTCAAGGTTGTTCCATTTTCCCCAACACTAATAGTTGTTCCAGTTGAAGACCCAAACTCTCATTGTCTACTCACAATCTCTGCAGCTATTTCACAAATTGGTGTCGAACCATCAGATGCCAACCGAACATTTGTGTTTTTCGACATTTCTCACACAGAGCAAAATTTTTCTAAAATCTTAAGTGACAGTGTCTTTGTAAGTGGGAGTCTGGTACCAACGGAAAAGGGAATTCCTGGATACTTAATTCGCGCAGAGCATGATTATGTAGGTAGAAGATATGTGGTGTCGTTGAATACTTCCCTCGTTTACTCCAGCGTTGGTTTGTCACTGGTTCAGGTTCGCTTTGCTGATGACGGATCAATCGACTTTACACGAAGTGTTATGATCAATGGTTTATTTACGCGTCCTCCACTTTATCAAGGTGTTCTAAACCTAACGCTCGACCTAGGAAGTGGAAGACGTTACAGTATTACTCGACCAAACGGCTACAATCCCTACACTGTCTTCCATAATGCTTTGGCGACATCAAATTGCAGTGACGACCCTCTTCTCGAAAAAGGCATTATGGTGAAAGCGATTGGCGCAAGGAAAGTTGTGGCTTCTTGGAAACTGGCCAATGCAAGGCAAAGGTTAAACTTTTCATTTACTCTCACTCTTAGGCCGTGTGACCCAGCGCAGATAAACGAGCCTTGTGAGATTCACGAGTTCAGAGTGGCTGGAACTAATCATACTCTAACAGGCCTTAGACCTTATACCAACTACTCTATTCAAGTGGCGACCTCAGGGAAACCACGTAGGGAGACAACTTGGACTACTGTACTGACTCTGGAGACAGGTAAATACATTTTTTTGTGTCTTTTAGAGTCTTCCGGGTCTCTGGCTATTTTGTATTAACCTTTGAGGGTTAATGAAACCCCTGAATTAAATGAAAGGAAAATTTTTGTTCTTTACTTATTCCCTTTACTTATTCCCTTTACTTATTCCCTTTACTTATTCCCTTTACTTATTCTCTTTACTTATTC